GACATTCCCATCTTCCCTTCTTCTTCGTCTAACCCCACCTCCTTCGTCTGTGTATGGTTGGGGCTGGCGCAGTCTTCTTGTGTGAAGCGCCAGACCCCTTCGCACCATGATGATGATGATGTATGTTCAGGGCTGCATTACAATATTGATTGTTCGGATCATTGGTATCTAAGTCTTCCGCTGTGCTATCTTATACTTTGTATTGAAAGGTCGGTTCTTGTTCTGGTCTGCACCTATACGGTATGCAACACTGGATCTCCCTGAATGTTCCACACACACACACACTTCACACAACCCGCTCACACACGCATGCTACAACCTATCTCTAACCTATGGCAGCTATGGCTGCCCTCCACCTACTAACTACTTGCGGCGATGGCCACTCTGTCTCCCTCACAGCCCACTTCGACTTCGGGCATCTGCAGACCACCTCGCACAAGACGCTTGGGCAGCGCTTCCGCATGGCTCACGCAGAATGAATGAATGGCTGGACGCTGCCTCTTGATTTATACTTCTGTTGGTTGCTGGTCTGCTCCTTTCCACCGGGCCCATGGTGCACACAGTCCCACATGGTACCTGCTGACTGGACAAAGTGCGACTGGGACTGGGTACCGCTGACTCGACAAAGCTGGACAGCCCACTTGCCCACTTGCCTCTGGCCTAACGTGAACAACTCTCGAAAGGCCACTTCCGGACCTTCCGGAAGTCTGTAGACTTGGCCTCTCAGGACTGTAGCAGCTACGACCTTGACCTTTCAGAACTGCAACAGCTATGATCCCTACACAGCTGCGGACCCGACCTGACAGACCTATGGTTCAAAACCCGACAGCCCCACTATCCTACAACATCAGACAGGTGACTCGCGGGACACAGGTCGTGGGTTCAAACACACACAGGGCAACTGATACTGTACATGGGTAAGGGCAAGGTCTGGGGATCAAGCCCTGGGATCTGCATCTGCTACTGTAAAGGTGAAAACCGTTTCACTCCGGCTGGCGTAAATTCTAGGTCCTCCGAGAATAACTCAATCTACAACAGGATCTTTACCTTTCTTTCCCCTTCCGTAGGCGCGGACTATGTCGGGAGCAGTCTCTAGAAGTTCTGTTTGTGTGAACCAGCGATCTTCTTCGGGCTCTTGAAAAGAAAATCTGACTTTGTATTGGTTCTGCGGACGACCCCTACCTCCTGTTCTGAACACATCCTCATCTACTATGCGATCAATGTCGTACCTTCCGTCCATATCTGGAGGAATCATCGATCTTCTCGACGGAAATTGCTGACTCATCCTGCAAGGTAACAACTTTGATGCGTGAAAAACTGGATATGTATGGAGGTGTGTTGGGATCTCTGTCGTGTAAGACGCACCATCTTCTCCACCCTTGACTTCTAGGACTGGCCACAGTATACTTGCTAAACCTATCAACTACAACCGTGACTTGGCTCTTGCCATGCCTACTTGTGGCATACTGCGTAGCCACACGGGCCCTGCAGGGCCTGTCCCGCACTTTCAGCCTAAAAGCCTAGAAAATAGGGCTTACAGGCCCCGGTCGTTTCAGCCTGAAACTGAAAAACGAGGGCCTGCAGGCCCTATTCCGTTTTCAGCCTATTTCTGGGCCTTTCAGCAGGGGTCGCAACTGCCCCTACTTCAAGGCCATGTGGAGAAGTGAGCGCGCGCGAACAGGACACTCCCAACCCACATGAGCCTATGGCAGAGGTT